GTTGTTTGGCGGGTCCAGGCTGGGGATTTGCACCCGCCACCTTAGGTGTACGTGGCTGGCGCCTTAGCCGGTTGAGCTGTAGGCGCCGAGCCAGATTTTTGTCTTTTTAAGTTTCCAAACACAGCATTGAAGATTTCTTTTTCTTTTTTTTTTTTTTGAGATAGAGTCTCACTATGTTGCCCTCAGTAGAGCGTTGTGGTGTCATAAATCACAGCAACTTCAAACTCTTGGTCTTAAGTGATTCTCTTGCTTCAGCCTCCCAAGTAGCTGTGACTATAGGCACCCACCACAACACATAGCTATTTTTTTGTTGCAGTTGTTTAGCTGGCCCTGACCAGGTTTGAACCCACCATCCTCGGTGTATGTGGCTGGTGCTGTAATCACTGTAGTGCTGGCGCTGAACCAGGGAAGCAGATTTCTTATTGTTGTCTATGAGGGTTAGAAATATTGAAAGGGGAAAGATATAATGAATGCTGTGATGCTAGTGTAGGACTGGCAAATATCAATATGAACTCCTGGTTTTTGACTCTTAAGTAGAGAAATAGACATAGATATGTGTGGATCCGTACATATAAACAAATACAGTGCATACACACACATAATGTGTGTATGTGTACATGAATGTTACATGTATCTATTTACTAGTTCTGCTGAGAGGGCCTAGAAGAAATGAAATCTCAGTAGCAATGAGTATACTTACCGTGTTTCCTCGAAAATAAGACACTGTCTTATATTTATTATTTCTCAAGAAGACACACTAGGGCTTATTTTCAGGGGATGTCTTATTTTTATTAGGTATAATATAATAATCTACATTTATTCAAATACAGTTAAGTCATCTTCTTCTGGAACCTAACAGGAGGAGCTGACCCAACCTTGTTAGTGGGGCTGGCACTAGTGATGTGTGAACCCCTTTCCCTGAGCTGTTCACACATGTGCAATAGGATGCCTCTGACTGTGGTTACTACACACGTATTCCAGTCTTCCTTGCTGCATAGCCACACCCATCACTAGGTCTTATTAACAGGGTAGGGCTTATATTTAACAAATGCATAGAAATCCTGCTAGAGCTTATTTTTTGATCTTCTCTTCGGGGAAACACGGTACCTCTCAGGTCTTCTTCATTCTCCTCTACAACAAACTAAGGATCTTTGGAGAAATGACTGACTACATGGTTAGGGTATGTCCAGTACAAGATGAGTCTGTCAGAAAGGAAAGAAGTGCTAGAATGACAAAGACATGTCAAAAGGACATAGAAGCCAGCTTGAAGGAGTTTCTAATGGCTAAATCTGGGATAATTTGACTATCAAAATAAAAAATGATAGTAGGCTTGGTGGTGGTTCATGCCTGTAATCCCAGCACTTTGGGAGGCTAAGATTGGGGGATTGCTTCAGGCCAAGATTCAAGACTAACCTAGCCAGAGTAATGAGACACAGTCCTTAAAAAAAATTAGCTAGGTGTAGTAGTGCACACCTGTAGTCCTAGGCTACTCAGGAGGCTGAGGCAGGAGGATCACTTGAAGCCAGAAGCTGGAGGCTGCAGTCAGCTATGATCATGCCATTATATTCCAGTCTAGGTGACAGAGCACGATTCTGTGTTAACAATAATACAACAGACTTGGTGCCAGTAGCTCAGTGGCTAGGGTGCCAGGCACATACACCGGAGCTGGCTGGTTCTAATCCAGCCCAGGCCTGCCAAACAACAATGACAACTACAACCAAAAAATGGCAGGTCCCAGCTGCTTGGGAGGCTGAGGCAAGAGACTTGCTTGAGCCTAGGAGTTGGAGGTCGCTGTGAGCTCACATGTGACACCACAGCACTCTACCTAGGGCAACAGCTTGAGACGGTCTCAAAAGAAAAAAAAAAATAATACAACAGAAAGAAAGTAGAAGGCCAGGTATGGAGGGCCTAGAAGAAGGACTATACCTGTAATCCTAACACTCTGGGAGGCCAAGGCAGGTAGATTGCCTGAGCTCAGGAGTTTGAGACCAGCCTGAGCTAGAGTGAGACCTTGTCTCTAAAAATAGTTGGGCATTGTGGCAAGTACCTACAGTCCCAGCTATTTGAGAGACTGAGGCAAGAGGATCACTTGAGCCCAAGAGTTTGAGGTTGCTGTGAGCTAAGATGCTATGGCACTCTACTGAGGGTGACTAAGACTCTGTCTCAAAAAAAGATAGTAGAAGTTTAGAATACACTATATATCCATTGTATATGAATCCACAAGTCTATACTAAAACAAAAAAATATATAAAGCAGAAGGGAAAATTTCTACTTAAAAAGCTAAAAATAATGTATCTTTAGATAAAATGATGGAGCTAGAAATTCTCCAGTTAGCCCCTGTCATAATAATAACTAATTTAGGAAAGAATCACTAATGTAATGGATACTAAAATTAGTTAGTAGAACTTTGGGAAGTAAGTGGATTGTCACACAGTCTCATGGCATATCCTCATGGTATATAGTCTAATGGTACCAAGATACTTACTGCTTACAAAAAGAAAATAGTTAACCTTACTGAGGAGTAACCAGATGGATATCATCTCAACTAAGTGTTCAGAATTAACTTCACCAGTAATAGGAGGAGCAGAGTTTAGGTGCGTTCTGATCTGATGCACTAAAACATGGCATTCCTCTGATATCACTTCTACTCAGGAGAAAAAATTGGACCTCATAAAATGAATGACCTACAATATAACTGGCATGAACTTTTAAAAAAATATAAATATTAAGGTTACTAAAGATAAAGACTGAGTAACTGTCACAGATTAAAGGAAACCAGAGTACCCAGGACTCTTTTTCTACACATATAAAGGATAACTGGGATAACTAGCTAAGTCAGAATAAGTTAAACAGACTAGGTAAAAGTATTATATCAGTGTTAATTTTCTGATTTGGATAATTGTGCTATGGTTCTATACTAGAATATCTTTGTTTTTAGGAAAGAAACATTAATTAAAGAAAAAGAGGCATTGTATCTGCAGGTTGCTGCCATGTAATTTTGAAAAAAAATGTGGAAGAGAGAGGGAGAAGGATAAAACAAATAGGATGGAGTCAACATTTGAGAAATGTGGGTGAAAGGCATACAAGAATATGAGTTTTCTCCAAGTCTGAGATTATATAAAAATAAAGAGATCAATAAAAAGATATCTCTTTAAATAGAATAATTATGGGAAAACAACAAATTTTCCTATAACTTGACCTTTCCCAGTAATTCCTGGGGCAGATAGGCTCTCCTGGGCTTAAAGAGAGATCCAGTTTGGCTCAAAGTCGACACAATGGCGCCTCCATGCTGAAAGAAAGGAGAAAAGGCTTAATTGGAAAAAGTTAAAAAGATAGAAAAATACAATTTAATCACCATTAGATTTTTTTTTTTTTTTTGCCATATAGTATATTGGCAGTATGGTTTGACAGTTAAATGGCAACTAAATTGGTTCTAGATTTGGCTCTGACAATAAATTGCTGCATGATCTTAAATTTATCACAACTTATTTGGGAGTACTATCTGTACTTACCCAGTCATTTTTCACCATTTTCCTCAGGTTGTGAATAAGTGCCAGCTCCTCTGGGGCCATCTGCACATTGGTCAATGAGAAAGATCATTACCACGTTTCCCTGAAAATAAGGCACTGTCTTATATTTATTTTTTCTCAAGAAGACCCACTAGGCTTATTTTTAGGGGATGTCTTCCTCTCCGCACCGAAATGCATGGCGTGCCATGCAGATACGCTGCATAGCCATGCCCATCACTAGGTCTTATTATCGGGGTAGGGCTTATATTTAACAAATGCATAGAAATCCTGCAAGGGCTTATTTTTGGGGTAGGTCTTATTTTCGGGAAAACACAGTACTTGCTTTCAGTGGATGCTTGCCTGAGACAACCAACTGACAATAATAATAAAAAAAAAATCCTCACTTATGACATAATCATGGTACCTAAAGGTACACTAGATAAGGCACATAGCTGCTGGCTCTAGAACTTCCATGCTTTTGGAGATTAACAATAGTCACTAAGAGAGAAAACACCTACTGCCCTTAACCATCCCCTTCCTTGATGTTTCTGATCTTTTCTGCTCAGACTATACAGGCTCATTTTGAAATGAGAATAGAAAGAAAGAATTATGAAAGAATGAAAACATAGCTTCGGCTGTCATGCTCATTCCATAACACTCTCCCTTAGTTTTCAATGAATGGTAGAATTCTTGGCACAAAAGCACTGCTTCCTTCTTTTGATTCCATTTTCACCATGTATCTTTCTTTTTTTTGGAGCTAGGGTATCACTCTGTTGGCTGAGCTAGAGTGCAGTGGCACAATCATAGCTTACTGCAGCCTCAGATTTCTGAGCTCATGTGCCCAAATGGCTAGGACTACAGGTGCATATCACCATGGTTGGCTAATTTTCGCTGTTCTTAAACTCAAGCAATCTGCCTGCCTTGACTTCCTAAAGTGTTGATATTACAGGATTGAGTCACTGTACTCCACCCCATTGTATTATCTTAATTCCAATACTCCTAGGTAAGACAATGTGTTGTATGGTCCACAAAGCTAAGTTGCAGCCTCTGTACATGATGGAACCAGAAATCAGAAAAACAAACATAGAGAAACTCAGTGTTCCTACCAGGCTTTTATCTTCTTTTTTCAGAGTGGTCCTTCCCCACAGAGCATTGATTCCATCCACAGCTACCAGGAGGCGAAAAATACCCAACGAACTCTGCCTCTTTAGCTCTTTCAGCACAATCCCAACTGCATCTGTGGCATTTCTCACTCGTGTTATGCCCTGTAGGGAGAGAGAATGGCTAACAGTGCTACAGGCACTCTTCTCAGATCACATGGTTCACCTTCAGTATCTTTTCTTATACCTGTTCAACTACTTCTCCCAGAGGACTGCCTTTCTCAGTGCTGTCTCTCTTATTCCAGACATACTTCTCTTGAACTTTTATCTAAAAACAAGCAAACAAAATAAAAACAAATCAAAAAAAGGTTACTGTGGCTAACGGTAAACTCATTCCTTGAGAAGGTTAGAGGCTAAGGTTGATAGGAGCTGGTTTCAATTTATAGTTCAGGTCCTCAGGTTAGTAACTCGTTTCTGTCTGAAACACTGAAAAAAAATATGTAAGAGATTATGATTAAGAAGGTCCAGAAGGAAGCTGTAACATCTGCAATTTTTTAAAAAAGAGACAGGGGTCTCACCATGTCACAAAGGATTGAGTGTAGTGGCATAAGCATAGCTCACAGCAGCTTCAAACTCCTGGGCTCAAGCAATCCTCTAGCCTTAGCCTTAGTAGCTGGGATGTACCACCCAGGGAAGATAAAAGCCTGGTACATGTATAGGCATGCACCACCTCATGCCTGGCTAATTATTTAATAAAACAAAATTTGTGTTTTTAGAGATAGGGTCTTGCTATGTTACTCAGGCTGGTCTTGAATGCCTGGCCTCAAGTGATTCTCTGCCTTACCCTCCTTGATAGCTGGATTACAAACTTGAGCCACCCTGCCCAGGTTGGCATCTGCATTTTTAACAGGCTGTATAGTGATTCTGCTATGTATCCAGCATTTGAAAGCTCCTGGTCTACAGATCCTAGAGTAAAGAGCACTTCTGCGAACACATTTCTGTTTCCTAAAAAAGGTCTAATCTGGAGAAAACTATATAGTTGGAAACCTACTTGTGAAGGATTTGAGGCAGTAGCTTGAGAAGTCAATGAATCAAACTAGATTTAACCTTGTTATCCACAAAATGCAAAATGTATGAAAGAAACACAAAATGATATAGTTATTCCGAACTACAATGTCAGTTTTCTATAGTTTAACCAACATTCAGAGCTCAAAAAAGACAGAATCTACCATACAAAGATTATTCAGAACCAAATGTCGGGAGTGTAGTCACCTGGCCCAGGAAGTGTTCATTTGTAGTTTTGAAATTCTTCAGCCAAGCGGAAGCCTCTAAAGGTTGATCAAAACGCTCTTTGTTGTAGGTGGACTGCAGAAGATCCTGGCAATTTTTCACCCAGAGATGAGCTAGGGAAAAAAAAAAGGCACATGAAAACAAACTAGGGAGGAACTGGCTATTTCCAACTTGAAAACTCTACACCTCTTTAAATTATGGGAAATGACTTTGGTTTCCCATATATATTACATATTATGTATATGTGTGTATATAGAGAGAGGTATATACACGTGTATATATATATATATATATTTTTTTTTTGGCCAGGGCTAGGTTTGAACCCACCATCTCTGACATATGGGAGCGGTGTCCTAACCTTTTGAGCCACAAGGCGTCACCCATATATATATTTCTTAAAGCCTTTTTTCTCCAGGGGTTTACTTTTTTGTCTGGCTCATCTTAGACTAAACATTATCATTACAAATAGTACGTAAGGTATACCAAATGTATTAAATACCACTTTTATTTTTTCTTTGAGACAGAGCCTCAAGCTGTCGCCCTGGGTAGAGTGCTGTGGCATCACAGCTCACAGAAACCTCCAACTCCTGGGCTCAAGCGATTCTCCTGCCTCCACCTCCCAAGTAGCTGGGACTACAGGTGCCTGCCACAACACCCAGCTATTTCTTGGTTGCAGCTGTTGTTGTTTGGCAGACCCAGGCTGGATTCGAACCCGCCAGCTCAGGTATATGTGTCTGGCGCTTTAGCTGCTTGAGCCATAGGCAGAGCCTACATAGCACTTCTTTTTTTTTTTTTTT